GAACACACACTGTGGCCATCCCATAATTCCCATGTCCCTCCACTTGATTTCTCTGCTTTTTATCTCTCATAGTTCAGTTAATTCCACCCCAGACCACACTCCTTCACACATAGATGCATCCGCTTTTGGCCTGTCTTTTTTCTCTTTCTTCTAACTCTTGCCAAGTTCCTACAGAGAAAGAATATTGGCTGTCTCATGTTACCTTTCTCTTTGAACAAAGAATCTCTGTCAACGTGGATGTCTCTCATACAGACAGTGCTGGTGACCCTCCTATTGAGGAAAGAAAAGGAAAGCTACTATGTTTAAAGGTGAAGAAAAGAATGATGCAGAGTCAGTGGCATCAGCCTCTGAAGCTTTTGAAAATATTCAGAAATTCCTTTTTGAATGTCCATTAAAAAATATTTCTCTGTAATTTTACAAGTGCTTCCTCCAAAATATCTATTCAAGATAAAATGTTTAAAATATCTAATTTTGTTTCTTATTTGTTTATAAATGTTGTAGAAAATATCCTCCACTTTTTTCCTTTGCAAATTAACCTGCTTGAGCAGTCAAATTGATTGAGCATTCTGAGTTCCAAATGAACAACCTTCAAAAACATTTTGAATGGAATGCGTTTGTAAGATGAGGATATGTCATATAAAATTAAATTAAAAATGAACAGAATAAACAATACCTCTTATATGAACTTAAAGGAAAGAGACTCATTGGGGGTGGGGCAGATAGACAGTTACAAGCTTGGGAAAATTTTTTTCACAAAAGTTAGAACTTGAGCCAGACTCTAAATAATAAATATTGACTTGTAGGGAGGCATTGAAAAGGTATCTCAAGTTGGGAAAAGACTGTTGGCAAAGACACAGAGGTATGTTCAAGGCCTGTAAATAGATGTATCTGGTTGAACGGGAGACTTCTTATGGAGGAATACAAGAGGTATTATTGACAAATCAGGGTGGGGTCAATTGTAGGTGTTTTGAATGTCACATTAAGGACTTTAGTAGATTTTCTCCCATAAATACTGGAGAGCTATTGAAAGTTTTGAAGGATTGTAATGAATTTGACAGAGTAGTTTTAGAAAATTGTCCAACCTGGTGATGTTAGAGAGGTTAGAAGGCAAGGAGACCAGAAGGGAGGCCATTTATGACTACATGCTTGTGAGATGCCAGAGTTTGGGACTAACAGGTGGTGGGAATGTCCAACAAGGGGGAGCTCTGACAGATGCTTCACACACAACGTGATGTAGTTTTGATGTGATAAAGGAGATGAAGGAAGGCAGTATGTCAGAAATGATAGTTAGGTTTCAGACTGTGTGACTGAGAGCATGAGAAGTACACTCAATAGCAGAACTAGGGAGGTCAAGCCAAAGCAAACGAAATCTGTTGCCATCCAGTCAGTTCCGACTCACGTGTGTTCCCATGTGACCCCATGTGTGTTCAGAAGGGAAAAATTGTTTGTATGGATGGAAGAGGGGAAAGAGATGATAAGTACCTGGGGACCAGCGTAGTTCAATAGAAATATAATGTGAGTCACATACGTCATTATAGATTTTTAATAGCTATATTAAAAGAGTAAAAATAAAGAGGTGAAATTATGTTTAATAATGTTTTATTTACCCCAGTATATCGAAAATATTATCATTTCAACATATAATCCATGTAAAAATTATTAATCAGCTATTTTACATTCTTTTTTCATACTAAATCTTTGAAATCCAGTGTTGTGTTTTACACTTACAGCACATAACAATTTAACTAGCTACATTTCAGGTACTCATAGTCACCTGGTGGGTGGCTACCATATTAAATACCGTAGGCGGCTGTGGGTCAGACTCGACTCAACGGCACATAACAACAACGACAACATTATTAGATAGTTTAATGGAACTCTCAAAGATTACACAACAGGTTTCTTAATTAAGCTAGTGATATGACTCACTTTTGAAAATTATAATTCTGTATATCCTTTTCCCTCCTCGATTCTTTTGTTGATTTTAGTTATTTCAGATTCAAGAAGTTCTTTAAGCAGAGTATCGTTCTTTCCCCAAATAAAAAAGAATTTCAGAAATACCCAAGATATCCTGTTTCACTGCTTACAGTTTCTACTGTCTCTAGTTCTCCATTTGACTTACAACTTTAATTAAACAAATCAGTCTAAATCTTCTCTTTCTTCTTCTGTTGTCAGTCTCAAACTCTTTGTTATGAAATAATCTAGCAATGTGTCCTCAGAACCCTTGGATAAATGACATTTAGTACTTTGGAAATGGAAACTGTATTTTTTATGTTCCCCTGTCTGCATATGTGTGCGTTTCTCCAGTGTTTAATATCTGAGTGCTGGGTTTTCAGTCTTCGCTATATGCTAAAGAATGCAGTACAGAAGGGAGCCTACTTCTATAGAAAACAAGCCAAGGACATTGTGTTCCATCTTTACAATGAAATGCAGATCTCTCATTAAAAGGCAAATCCATCATTTCAAGGGTTCAATAGGATGGTGCATGAAAATAAAAATCCAGCTGCTTAAATTTAGGGCATTGAAGAGTCCAATTAAAAACAAAAATGTTCCCTGGGTCTGAAGCATTTTTATCTGATTATGCATTGGATAGATTTTCATTCAGTTTAGGCTCTTGCTTATTAGAATTCTGTCCTAAAATAGTCTGACATTTGTTTTAAGCAAATTAGACTCGACTATGATACTTCATTCACTTAAATTCTGTATTTGGCTATTTGGAAACATCCTTGTGTTTGCTAATATATTGTTAATTTGTATACGAGAAATATTGGCATGTTTATAGTGCTTTGCTTTTCCGTCTTGTTTCTTACGTTTCTCCCATTCCCATTTAGTTTCTTTTTTTCTCTCTTTTTTGAAGACATTATTTGCCAAGACAGCCATTTGTGCTCCAACCAGCTTTCTTCAACTGTTTCACTCCACCTTATTTTGTGTCAAGTAGAGTGCCACCTTTTAGCTATTCTAATGTGCTCTGCCCAACTTTAACATGCTTAATTTAGTGGTAAGTAGTGGCAAAGCCAGTGATATTCCCTGCAAATATTCTCTGTGGGGTCTGCATACAACATGGTGCCCACAACCTATCTAGGGATGACTGAAGAGTTCTGCTCCATGCTGCTGAGCCCAGTCACAGATTCTCAAGAAAGTGCTCTGTATGTTGTAGAACAAAAAGGTTTACGTCAAGCCTATTTGTACAGTGTATACATTTTTGATAGGCATTAATAGTTGCTTATTAGAACTGTGGCTAATTCCCCATGCTTTCCTCTGGAGTCTAGTCCTGCTGTCTCTCAGGAGTAGCACCAGAGGTGTGACCTGAGGCCATACAGAGGACTACTGTTTAACAAGGTCTGTGCTAAAATGCCCTTGGTAGTAGATATTTGAAGGAGCCCTGGTGGCGCAGTGGTTAAGAGCTCTGCTGCTAACCAAAATAGTAGCAGTTCAAATCCACCAGCTAGCTGCTCCTTGGAAACCCTCTGGGGCAGCTCTCCTGTGTCCTATAGGGTTGCTGTGAGTCGGAATCAACTCGACACTAAGGGGTTTGGGTTTTTTGAGTTTTTAGTGGCACAGTGGTTAAGCACTTGGCTGCTAACTGAAAGGTCAGTGGTTCGAACCTACTTAGTAGCTCTACGGGAGAAAAGAACTGGTGATCTGCTCCTGTAAAGATGGCAGCCTAGGAAACTCCATGAGGTAGTTCTCCTCTGTCCTGTAGAGTCCCCATAAGTTGAGATTGACTCGATGGCACACAACAGTAGGTATTTGAGGTCCCTAGGGGGTGCAGATGGTTTGCACTCGACTAATAACCTGAAGGTTGGCAGTTGGAACCCACCAAGTGGTACCGTGGAAGAAAAGGCCTGGTGATCTGCTTCGTTAAAATTACTCCCAAGAAAACCCTATGGAGCAGTTGTAACTCTGTAAAAGATGGAGTCACTCTGAATCCGAATCTACTTGATGGCAACTAACAATAAGTATTTACTAGGTTTCTTAACCTGAGTATTTCACTGTCTCCTATTACCCTGATTGTTAGACATTTATGCATATGGTGATATTGTCCCTGGACTGTCCCTAGAAGTAAATGTTTCTAATAATTCCTTGATATCCAGTATGTTTTACCAAAATCAGTTTGGTTCCATTTTCAGGCCTTATCTCTCCAGTATCCATTATCTTCCTAAAAAAATAAATAATAATTTTAAAAGAGAACTTGTTTTAGTTAATGCAGTGAAACCTGTAAGAGCCAAAACTTGATGACTGCCCTGTTTTACCAGGTCTTGCAAGTTTTCCGCCTTTGACAGGATGCAATCATACCACTTTTACATTGCTGGGTTTAGTTGAAAATATTTGAGTTTTCCTCTTGTAACAGGTTTCCACTTTACACAGCTTCCGACATTCTCAGGTTTGACTGTATCAATCCACTTCTAATGGATTCTTTCCATCCCTAGGAGCTTAACAGTTTTATGGAATAATATTTTCTGGATGCAGATTTCATTCTAGACCCAAACTAGGGATGTATTTTCTATGCTGTGTCATAGTTTACAGGGAGCATTTCATACTGGGGTCCTTGTACTTCCATCCCGTGCCAGCACTGGCTATCAAAACTGCCTAGGCTGCAAATAAAATATGAAATGAAATCCATCTGGCATTTCTCATTGAATTAGGACCAGAACATTTTTGCTAAATATTAACAGATGGCTAAATTCTTAATATCAAACTAACGTTTTAAAACATCTGAGGGGCCCCACATGGGTGGAAAGGGTGGAGAACCGTGTGTTTTCTCTATCATAGAGCCCTTCCTGTACATACCCCCTTCACCCATTTCTTCTCACCCACGTGCTGAGAATCACTGGAGTCTCCTATCTCAGATAATTTTACTCCTTGGCAGCTGGTATCAAATGTATGTGATGTATCACAATTGTGTAGTCAGTCTTAGCCAACTCAGGTGGTATGTTGCTGTTGGTATGCCTTAAGATTGTTTATTAATGCCAATTTTCTTTTTCTCTCTCTTTTAATAGGAAAAAGAAAAGAAATATATGCTTCCCTTGGACAACCTGAAAGTTCGGGATGTGGAAAAGAGCTTTATGTCTAGCAAGCACATCTTTGCACTTTTTAACACGGAGCAGAGGTAAGAAAATGAAGCCGTTTTCTGTTTTCAGATTTTTTTTCCCTTGAATTCCTATATGATCCAGAGATCATACTTACAAATCGTTCCTTTTGTCCCACCTCAAAATTTTTTTAACACTTCAGTTTTCCTTTTGTTTATTTTATATTTTTAGCCTCCACCATGAATTATGGCTTAAAATTTAGAATAAGAAGGATCTTCAAGTAGTAATTAGTTTCTCTGCTTTTCCAGCAGGCACACAGATCATGATGCTTCCATTCTTAAGCTACGTTTTATTACCTTAAACTCTTCCTCCTGCTGAATTTGTTTACATACTTACAAATCATTCAATTACAATGTTAATAGTATCTGTTCAGCATAGAGGGAACTCACTTAAGTAAGACCTTCATATATGTGTGTGTGTGTGTGTGTGTGTGTGTGTGTGTGTGTGTATGTGACTAAATTCTTACATCAGTGGATAGAATTATTCAGTTAGTGTGATAATATATATAGTACTTTATAGCTTTTCAAAACACCATCCACATTGATTATCTTTGATTTTTTAATTAACAATAGCCCTGTAAGTTAAAAAGATGGGGTGGTGTGGTTTTTAGTTTATAAAATTTAGGCTCAGAGAACTTAACTGATTTTTGAGATCACAAAACTGGTACATGGGGGAGCTGGAACTTGCATCAGGACTTCTGGGTCTAATTCTACTTTTCCTTCAACTCTTATTTCTTTTGCTTTTCTTACTGCTGTTCACCTACAACATCGAAACTTTGTTTTGGACTGATTGTTATGGAGTGCTGTAGTTGTTCATTGAAACTATCAAGTAAAGTTAAATAAACACATGGAGAGGCAACAGAGGACAAGATAAAAACAAACAAACAAAAAAATCCATTGCTGTGAGTCGATTCCAACTCATAGTGACTCTATAGGACTCTATAGGACAGAGTAGAACTGCCCCGTAGGGTTTCCAAGGAGCAGCTGGCTGGTGGATTCGAACTGCTTTCCTTTTGGTTAGCAGCTAAACGCTTAAACGCTGTACCACCAGGGCTGCAAGAGGACAAGATAGTTGTAAACAAGGGCCATCATTAGGCAAGGAGATCTTTTTTCAAATGGAAATGTTATAGAAAAAAGCTAATTAATTTTTATTAGTCTGTTATTAAGAAAACGAATCATTAGTTGGTGAAATCTAATTTTAACCCTTTCCTCCAGACCTTCTTTTATCTTTATTTTGCAATGAGCAAAGCTACTTGATGAGGTTCAGTGACTGGCCCAGGGTCAATCACAGACTAAATCAAAATAGTGAGAGAAGACAACTTCATCCCACATTCCCAGTCAGTTGCTCAGAGTGACTCATTATACAGAATACTTGGAAAACCCACAAGAGCAAGGCACTTAAAGAATCAAGGGGAAAGAAAATTAAATACAGCTTCCCTACCAAATACTAAAATGGGATTTAAAAAAGATTTGGTATTATTTTGGAGTAGTTTGCAAAAAACACTGAAGATGATAAGGATAAGAAGGTTGCTGGAGACAGCAATAGTGAGTCCTTGGTACTAGGGCCACCTCAGTACTGTTTACATGCCTTCCTCAGGGCAGTGGAGGATTGGGAGGCCCTGAAGGAATCCTCAGAGGCACGCTCAGCCTTCTTGCCTGGATGAAGGGTGAGACACGTGACTACCAGGCAGGAAGTCAAAGTCAAAGTGAGTTTGAATCCTCGGTTACCCTGGGAAGGGTAGGTTATAAAAGAGCTTGGTGCAAAGTAAAAATAAGATAGCAGTAGAGCATCTTTTTCGATGAAGTACAACTGTGGATTTGAGAAAGAGCCAAAGTCAAAATAAGAAAACTCGGGGCTTCTAGTAATCTGGGTCTTCTGGAATCCTAGAGTTCTCAAAGGTATTAAACTCTTCAACCATTTTCAGAGACCTCTGTGAGGACATGGAAGTACCACGTACAGGCACATTTTCCATTGTCTTTTCCTTTGCAATCTTGATTTCTTTAAATTATTTTTGTGCTGGCTAGGATCTCCAGTACAATGTTGAATAGAAGTGGGCACCCTTGTCTTGTTGCTGATTTTCAGGAAAACGGTCTTAAAATTCTATAGTTTTGGTATACCTTTGGGTAGGCACTTGATATCAGATCCCTTTTGTACCTGTTATTAAAGTTTTTGTTTTGTAAATCATGATGGAGTATTGAATTTTATCAAATGCTTTTTCTGCCTCTACGGAGAAGATTATATAATTTTTCTTCTTTAATCTGTTAACGTGGTGCAGTATGTTTAGCATGTTAAACCATTCTTGGTTTCCTGGGATTAAACCTAGCTAAATTGTGGTATTTTATTATTTATTTTATCTTCCTGTTTTAAATTTACTAATATTTTATTTAGGCTTTTTACATGTTCAGTAGTTGAGATTGGCACTTAAATGTCTTGCCTGGACATTTGGGCTGACCTCACCTGGTTTTCATACCAACGTTATGTCAGCTTCATAAATTGAGGTAGCTCAAGGCCCTAATTGTTTTTTTGGAGCAGTTTGAATAAGATAGGGATTAGCTGTTAATTAAACGAAATGTTTGGTAGAACTCCTCAGGCCCTGATGGGTATTTTTGGTAAGTAACTTTAACTAGTGATTTAATTTCTTCAATGAGTACCATATAGATGTGTTCAGGTTTTGTATTTTTTTTATGAATTGATTTGGATAAACTATATTTTTTCTAGGAAATTGTCTATCCTGTCTGTTTTTAAATATATTAGCATCAAGTCTTTCATAATCCCTTTATTTTTTTTAATCCCTGTAGTATCTGAACATTTGACCTCTTTTCATTCCTAATAGTAAGCCTTATCTTCTTTTTCCATGATTACTCTTGCCAGAGTTTTGTCTATTTTGAAAAAAACAGCTTTAGGCTTTTTTTTTTTTTTTTTGTCTGTCTTCTATCATATATATATATATTTCTATTTCAATTCTACTCTTTTCTTCATTATTTCTTTCCTTCTATTTTCTTTGTATTTACTCTTTTGGTGTTTCTGCTAACTTACTAATTTAGATGCTTAGCCAATCAGTTTTTATCTTTTCTTTTTCTTGTATATGCATATAAGTCTATAGATTTTCCTCTGGGTAGTTTTCAGCTGCTTACCACAATTTTGGAAACATAATATTTTTATTATAATTCAATTCTGTTTCCTAATCTTCATTTGGATTTCTTCTTTGACTCATGAGAGAAGTGTGTTTTACATTTTATAGTACATGGAATGTTGTTTTTGTGTTGTTGTTGATTTCTAATTTAATTGTATTGTGGTCAGAGAATATGACCTAGTACATGGTGAATTTTTATAAATACTCCATGTGTTCCTGAGAAGAATGTACATTAGCTAAGTTGAGAGTAGGGGGTCCCACGAGAGTCAGTTGAACTGTGCTTGTTAATTGTGTTATCCAACCTCTATAGTTGCTGTTGTTTTCCCATCTTGATTAATTCAGACATTCAACAAGTATATATTAGGTACCTGCTCTGTGCCAGGCTTTGCTCTATGGGCTTAAAATACATTGTGAATAAAATAAACGAAAAAAGATTATTCATTTTAGATCACATTCTAGAGAGGGGTGTTGGCAGGGAGACAGATAAAAGCCATAAACAATATCACTTTATCAGAGATGTGTCAAAGATCTCTTTTTATGATTGTGAGTTTGAATATTTTACTAAGTTTACTTTTTGCTTTATGTATTTTGAGACCAATCGATGTTACTAGATTCATACAAATTTAGAATTGTTGTATCTCCTTGCTGACACTTTTTAAAAATAATTTTGTGGCAGCCCTCTTTATTCCTAATAGTGTTCTTTGCCTTAAAACCTATTTTATCTGATCCTAATTAGACCTGGTGGCACAGTGGTTAAAGTGCTCAGCTGCTAACCAAATCCACCCAGTGACTCTGAGGGAGAAAAGACCTGGCGATCTTCTCCCATAAATATTACAGCCTAGAAAGCCCATAGAGCAGTTCTACTCTGTCACATGGGGTCACTGTGAGTCGAAATTGACTCTATGGCACTTAACACCAACAATAATCATATAGCTACACTGCCTTTCTTTTGGTTATTATTTGCTTAGTATATCCTTTTATTTCCTTTTGCCTTCATTTTTTTTTTTTGTATTTTATCACAGCATATACATGTATTCGCTTGTTTTTAATCTAATGTGAAATCTCTTTCTTTTAACTGATGAGATTAGTCACTTTACTTTTTTATTATTATTATTAAAGCATTTGAATTTGATTTGGACATTTTATTTCCATCTGTCCCTTTATCTTGCTTTACAATACTTTTCTCCCTCCTTTCCAGCCTTCCTTTCCTTTAATTCACCCTTATTTTCTTTTTTCCTGGCTTGGAAGTTACACACTCTTATTTCTGTTCCTTTAGACATCTCTTTAATATTTTTGACATTCATATTTGACTTAAAGTTTAAAGTTAGTCTCTCTGCTCTCCAAGATGACCCTAGAACACTTTAACTCCAGTGACCCCCTCCAGTTTTCTCTATTATTGTTATCCAGTATTTGAGTTCAATCTACTTTTTTACCACCTTAGTCAATATTGTAATCGGTTTGTATAGGCACTGCTTGTTTAGATTTACTGACATGTCTACCAATTTCTGAGTTCACCTTCCGTCTTTAATCCCAATGTTTATTTTGGTTCATTTTCTTTCACACTAAAGTATACCCTTTAGGAATCCCATCAGTGGGTTCTACTTGGTGGTTGGTGGTGGTGTTAGTTGCTGGTGAGTTGATTCCAACTCATGAACTCTCACTTTGGTGTTTGTTTTCTTGAATATATCTTTATCTTGCTTTTATTGTTGAATGATAATCTAGCTTGATATTAAATTATATATTGATAGTTTATCACATTGCTTTGAAGTTCTTATTCCTCTATATTCTGGCTTCCATGCTGCTTTTGAGAAATCAGCTGTCATGCTAATTATTGCTCCTTTTTATAAATAATCTTTTTTTCTCACTGGTTGATTTTAAGATCTCTTT